TGGCCACCTTGCTCAGCCACCCTCTCCCTGACTAATTTCACCCAGACTTCCAGCACCCTCCATGCTCTCCTGGACACCTCTGGGTCTCTGTGTTTGCTGTTCCTTCTCCCTGGAACACCCTTCTCACCTTCCACCCTTCCCTGGGTTTATCCCAGGGAACTTATACTCATTCCTCTCCATCCATGTGGACATCTGGGCTCGACAGGCTTTGGGGCTGTATCCTCCATGGCACCAATAATTCTATGACCTATGATTGTCCCACCTCCTGTCCCCCCATGCCAGACTATGATTATGGGGCCTCAGGGAAAAGTCTGAGTCTCAACAATGCTTAGCACAAGCAGACATATGATGGCCTCTGCCAGTATCTGTTGAATGAGTGAATGATTCTCTCCCAAGGAGGTCACTGGACATCATCCCTTGAGGAGTAATCAAGTTGCTCTCCTGCAGCAACCTCGGTTTGTATCCGAGTCACGACACCAAAAAATTTTTAATTTTAAAAGTAAAATAATGATTTAAGGTAAAAAAAAATAAAAATAACTGAAAAAACAAGTTGCTCTCCACTCCCTAACCAGGCCCGGCCCATCCCCAGGAGCCAGTCCGGACATTGCCACTGCAGAAGGGAGCAGGAGAAAGTCTCCCAGACCTGGGTTTGAATCCAGTTCTCAGCCAGGCAGAGTGGCTTACGTCTATAATCCCAACACTTTGGGAGGCTGAGGCAGGAGGATTGTTTGAGGCCAGGAGTTCAAGACCAACCTTACCAATATAGGGAGACCCCATCTCGATTAAAAAACAAAGCCTGATGAAAACACGTTTCTACCAAAAAATTTTAAAAATTAGCATGGTGGTTCATGCCTGTACTTCAGCTACTGAGAAGGCTGAGGTGGGAGGATTGCTTGAGTATGAGAGGTCCAGGCTCTGAGCTGTGATTGCACCACTGCACTCCAACCTTGAGGTGAGAGCAAGAACCTGTCTCAAACAAACAACAACAACAGAACAAACTCAGCTTTCTCAGTCCCTTGCTGTATGATCCCGACTGGTTATTAAGATCTCTGAGGCGGCTGGACGCAGTGGTTCACACCTGTAATTCCAGCATTTTGGGAGGCTGAGGCAGGCAGATCACCTGAGGTTGGGAGTTCAAGACCAGCCTGACCAACATGGAGAAACCCCATCTCTACTAAAAATACAAAATTAGCTGGGTGTGGTGGTGCATGCCTGTAATCTCAGTTACTTGGGAGGCTGAGGCAGGAGAATCGTTTGAACCAGGGAGGCAGAGGTTGTGGTGGGCCGAGATCATGCCATTGCACTTCAGCCTGGGCAACAAGAGCAAAATTCTTGTTTTGTCTTCTCCAAAGGGGGGAAAAAAAATCTCAGCGGCTGGCCAGATTTTTTCAAAATATTTTTTCAAAAAAATTTGTTTCAAAAAAAAAAATATCTCAGGCTCACACCTATCATCTTAGCACTTTGGGAAACTGAGGTGGGTGAATCACTTGAGGCTAGGAGTTTGAGACCAGCCTGGGCAAGATGGCAAAAGTTTGTCTCTACCAAAAAATACAAAAATTAGACAGGTGCAACGGCGCGCACCTGTAGTCCTAGCTACTTGGGAGGTTAAGTCATGAAAATCACTGAACTGGGGCGATGGAGGTTGCAGTGAGCTGAGATCAAGTCACTGCACTCCAGCCTGGGAGACAGTGCAAGACTGGGTCTTCAAAAAAAAAAAAAGATATCTGATATCTGAGACTGTCTCCTTCTCCTTTATAGAAGAGTATAAAAACTCTTCTGGGAACCTCCATAGGCCAAAAACCTACCCTCAATCTAAATTTCACACCTTTTTTTTTCTTTTCTTGAGACACAGTTTCGCTCTTGTTACCCAGGCTGGAGTGCAATGGTGCGATCTCGGCTCACTGCAACCTCCGCCTCCTGGGTTCAAGCAAGTCTCCTGCCTCAGTCTCCCAAGTAGCTGGGACTACAGGCACACACCACCATGCCCAGCTAATTTTTGTAATTTTAGTAGAGATGGGGTTTCACCATGTTGACCAGGATGGTCTCGATCTCTTGACCTCGTGATCCACCAGCCTCGGCCTCCCAAAGTGCTGGGATTATATGTGTGAGCCACCGCGCCCAGCCTTAAATTTCACACCTTATATGAAAATTAGCTCACAATAAATCACAAATTTAAAGGTAAAAATGTTAAAAAAAAATACTATCAAACTTTTAGGGAAAATAACAGGAAAAAATCTTTAGGACCTAAGGTTAGGCTGTAAATGTTGATTATACACATTGGGTCAGAGTTAAGAGATGGGGTGGGTTGGGGGGAAGCACTCAGTGTACATAACATTGTTCAAAAATGCAATTGCCTGTGAGTTTGGCTGGTGAAACTCCCTGTTATAACCTGAAATCAATTTTATATATAGCTGCTGAGATAACTTGCTACGAATCTAGGACTAACTTTACTCACCACTGTCACTTACCAATCAGAACTCTCCAGCTCCCCAAATCCTGACGAGTGCTAAGGAACTTTCTCAAAGAGCACTAAGTAACATGTCTGCTTTTTAGAAACCTCTAACCTTCTCTGTGTTCTCCAGACACATCAAAGACCACCCAGTCTTTGTGTATGACCCGAACTGCAATTATTTCTTCCCAAATAAAATGTTAAATGTAGAGGTTTGTCTCTACATAAACCGCAATAAGATATAACCTACCACACATTGTTGGTGAGAATGTGAAATGGTGCAGCCACTCTGGAAAAAGTGTGGCAGTTTTCAAACATGCAACCTACTGGGGCCCAGGAATAACACTCTTGAGCATTTACGCCAGAGAAATGAAACCTGATGTTAATATACATACATATATGAATGCTCATAGCAAGGTTATTTGTAATGATTAAAAGCTGGAAACCCCACATATCTGTCAATCATTGAAATGGTTAAGCAAACTGTGGTATATCCATACTGTGGAATACTAGTCAGCAATGAAAAACACAAACCACTGATGCGTGAAACAGCCTGGATGACTTGCTGGAGAATTATGCCAAGTGGAAAAAAAGATCAGTCACAAAAGTTTATATACTGTATCATCCATTTATATAGCATTCTTGAAATAGCAAAACTGTCTAATTGTAGAATAGATTAGGGGTTGCCAGAAGTTAGGAATAGTGGTCAGAGGATGGGGTGGGGATGGCTACAGAGAGAGAAATCTCTCTTTGTAGTGACAGAACAGCTCTGTATCTTGACTGTAATGGTGGTTACACAAATCTATACATATAGTAAGGTTGTATACCCACAGGCAAATGAGTGCATGTAAAACTGGTGAAATCTGGCCGATATAGTGGCTCACGCCTGTAATCCCAGAACATTGGGAGGCTAAGGTAGGAGAAACACTTGAGGCCAGGAGTTTGAGACCAGTCTGAGCAACACAGTGAGATCCTGTCTCTATAACAACAACAAAAAAGAAAAGAAAAGAAAGGAAAAGATTAGCTGAGCACAGTGCCTGTGGTCTCAGCTACTCAGGAGGCTGAGGCAGAAATATACCTTGAGCCCAGGAGTTCAAAGCTGCATTGAGCAATGATTGTACCACTGAGCTCCAGCCTAGGTGACAGAGCAAGACCCTGTCCCAAAACAAACAAAAACCTGGTGAAATCTAAGTAAGCTCTGTGGATTGCACCAGTATCAATTTCTGACTGTAATATTACTGTGTTATAGTTATGCAAATCCTTGCTACTGGGGAAAACTGGGTGCATACAGCCTTCCTGTTCATCAACTGCAGAAGTGTGGGGGTGGTGGAGGGGAGGGTGAGGCTTTAGCCTCCCTTCCTGAACTCCCCAGCCTCTGTGCATTGGCCAGAACACAGCGAGAAGCTGAGGCAGCTCAGAGAGGGTCTTGCAGGGGATCACAGTGGCAGAGAGGCTATAAGTGGGTCTTCAGGACTCTCAGGGCAGGCCTCTCCCTCTGGGACTACCTCTCCTGTCTGGCCCTGAGACTACCTCCCCTGTCTGTCCCTGCAGGGCCACTGCGTTCAGTAGCATAAAGCCCTTGGGGCTGGGGTGGGGGCTGTATGGCAGAGTGTAGGACTTCAGGCTTGAGGGGTTGGGGACTTGGGAGGCCAGTCATTGCCCAGGGCAGTGGACTCATCAGCCTGATGGGCAATGGTTGGTAGAGAAGGCCTTGAAGGGGCGGGGGGGGGGGGGGTTTGAGGGCACAAGGCCTAGAGATGTCACCAGTGACCGAGAGCAGCAGTATCCTTAAGGGCCCCAAACCAGCCCCATCCAGATCCAGAGCAAGTATGGGGGATGGGAGGAAGGGCTGGGCTGGGTGCCTGGCAGACTGGCTGTGGCACGCGATGGGGTGGGGGCTGTTTGTTGGGCCAGGTTTAATGGGCTTTGCTGTACCACCCTCACAACCTGCCTTCAGATGTGGTCTCCAAGCTCCCCATAACCCGGGTCCCAACCCCAAGGGACGCTCAGCAGAGAGCTGGGTCTGACCCCAGCCCACAGCGGCCCTCTTGGCCCCTCCCTGTCCTAGGGTTCAGGTGGAGTGCTGCCCACCACGCAGAAGCAGTCCAGGGACCCCTCCTAGAAGGGATTAGGGCTCAGGACTGAGAACTGGGTACCAGCTCAGAAAAGCCCTGAGCTTGGGCCAGGCAGTGCCCTAGCCCTGCCTGGGGGCTCCCAGCACAGTACCCTAGACCTATTTCCATTACTGGACAGCTGGGTATGTATAGGGCCACACGGACTTCCCGCCACACAGGCGAGATGGCACCGCCAGGATTGATCCAGGATCACCAACAGACCCTGGGGACCCTGGGGGTGCCAAGGCTGTTGACCCGCTGTGTGACCTCAGGGAGAACACTGTCTCTCTCTGGTCTAGGTTTTCCAGGAGTTCTTAGGTTTTGGCCCCTGAGCTTTTGGGAATTCGGCCACCAGAGGACCGTGGGCAGTGCGCCCGCCCCAGGTCTGTCTGCTTGTAGAGAGGTGAATCAGCTTCCGGCCCCGCCCTGGGCGGCACGTGACCGCAGGTGGCGGCGGTGGGGTGGGCGGGGCGGCCCTGAGTCACCCGCGCGCCCTCGCCCGGCCTCGCGCCTCTGCTGCCGTCCAGAGTGCGCCCCGCTCCGCTCCGCCCGCGTCCACTCGGTAAGCGAGTACCGGCTGCGCCCCCGGGATCCCGGGTCTCAAGGGGCGCCGCCACCCCCAGCCGCGCTTCCGGGTCTCCTGGACCCTTCTTCGAGCCCCGACCTCCTCCAGGCTTGCCAGCACCCGGGGATTTTAATACCCCCCCTTACCCGGAAACCCTCGGCTTGCCGGGCACCGCTGTGCCGGGGCCGCCTTCCACTCTAAGAAGCTACTGGGAACATCTCCGGCTGCCCTATTTCCCCCTCAGAAGTTGCTAGGACTTCAGGCAGCTCCGGAAATCTGGGATGTGGGTTCCCTGTCCTCTGCACGCAGAGGCTCAATGAGCCCTGGGACGTGGCCCACCGCTCCTCGTCCATGTCCCGATCCCCTACTTTCTCCCCATCCCAGTCCCGTCCCCCACCTCATCCTCCCAGCTCCAGCCCCAGTCCCAGTCCCGTCCTTCCTACGCCCCGTGGGCTCCGGCCCCGCCCCCAGCAGCCCCTCCCCGCGCGCCCCGCCCTCTGCGCCGAGCTGGGCTCATCAGGTTTTTCCCTCAGGTTGCTCATGGGCAGAGGAGCAGAGGCCGCGGAGAGGCCCCCGAGCGCGCGGTGCCCCAACCGGGTCGGAGCTAGGAACCGGACCTTGCCCACCCACCCCCGGCAGCAGTGCCCGGGCAGGCGGCACCATGGCCTTCTCCCAGGTGCAGTGTCTGGACGACAACCACGTGAACTGGCGCTCCAGCGAGTCCAAGCCCGAGTTCTTCTACAGCGAGGAGCAGCGGCTGGCGCTGGAGGCCCTAGTGGCCCGCGGTCGGGACGGCTTCTACGAGGTGCTCAAGCGGGAGAACATCCGTGACTTCCTCTCGGAGCTGGAGCTCAAGCGCATCCTGGAGACTATCGAGGTGTACGACCCGGGCTCTGAGGACCCTCGGGGCACGGGCCCCTCCCAGGGGCCCGAGGACAACAGGGTCGGTGACGGCGAGGAAGCCAGCGGGGTGGATGGGGTCCCCACCGAGGCCGAGCCGCTGCCCTCCCTGGAGTACTGGCCACAGAAGTCGGACCGCTCCATCCCGCAGCTGGACCTGGGCTGGCCCGACACCATCGCCTACCGCGGCGTGACCCGGGCCAGCGTCTACATGCAGCCCCCCATAGACGGGCAGGCCCACATCAAAGAGGTGGTGCGGAAGATGATCAGCCAGGCGCAGAAGGTGAGGCAGCGCGGGGACTCCGGCAGCGCGGGGACTCCTGCAGCAGTGGCCCGACCAGCCTCTGGACCCCCTCAATATGGCCTCACTCAGAGCCCAACGCGGTAGCCAAACATGGGCCCCTAGGGCTCTCTGCTTCCCTGGTGGCCTCCTGGCTGGAGGTTGCCTCCTCACCTTCTTGGGGATTGCACTTTCTTTGCAGGGTAGGGTTCCCAGGTCCTCTAGCAGGTGACAGTGGGCTGCCCCGTCTCAAAGGGCCTCTGTGTTGTTGGGGGGATGTTTTAGTTTCTGCTGACCTGGTGAGCAGGTTCCTCAGAAGAAGGCACGGAAATGGGGTGGAGCAGGGAGAGGAGGAATCGCAGGGCTTCCTCTTACTCTCCCTTAGAGTGATTGATTCACTGTGAGGGCGCGCGCACACACCATGAGCTCTCTGATGGGAAGAGCTTTTGTTGTGGGCTGGGGGATAGATAGGTACGGAGATTAAAAAGCAGCCCCAGTCCATCTGAGACTGGCCTGGAGGTCCTGGTTCAATATTGCGTGTTTCCTGGCTGTGCTGAGCAACTTCTAGCAGAGTGCACACCCTCTCTGAGTCTCTTTGTGTGCTTTGCAGTGGTGGAAACTTTCCAGGCCAGGATGCACGGGTGAAGGAGGTGTGGTCCTCATTCGTGGAAGTGGAGTGAGTCCAGCTGAGCATTGTCCACCTGAATTTTGCCACTGAAAGGAACCTCAAGCCTTCTCTGGCCCTCCCCTTCTCCACCCCTGCTGGACTGTGCAGTGCCCTAGCTGTGGGGGGACCATTCTTGGCTGACACAGTCACACATTCTGAGAAGGGGTACTTGCCACTTGCTGGATAGCTGTGGGCATGAGCAGGTGCTAATGCCTGCTGCACATCAGTACCTTCTCATCGTTCCCAAGCACATCTTGACTTGATAGAGCTTACCTAGAGAGCTGTGTTGAGGATTCTGAAGCCGGGTCTGGCCTCAGGTTGTGGAATGTTCCTAGCTGGGTCTAACCCCTTCATACTTCCAATCCCAGAGCAGGGCAGCCAATTGCACAAGACCAGAATGCTGGCTTCAGGGACCATCCTGGGTAACCGACAGGGCCTCAGGGAAGCTCATGGGCAGAGAAACCAGAAGTGGGTCAAGAACTGACAAGGTGGCCACGGTGGCCCCTGGCCCCAGCTCCAGTTTCCAGGAAGGTGGAGTCCCTGCCCAACAAGGGGACTGGCTGGGTTAGCTAGCTGGGTGGGGGTGGCTGGCCCCTGGCCTACCTGCTCTCAACTCACTGTCTGACCCTGGGCAGCTGTGAGGCTTCGGGTTTCTGGTCTGTAAGACGGAGGCGCTGTGGATAAAAGCTGTATCTTTAGCTATTGTGAAGATGGAATATCTGGTGACAAAAGTAAGGAAGGAGTTGGAGGAAGAGGAGGTAGAGGGGGAGGAGGAAGGGAACTGCATAGTTTGCAGACCGAGAGACCCACCCCACACCTGCCCCAGTGTGTAGGAAGTGCAGCTGACGTCTGTGCCTAATGGACATGACTGTCTGGAGGCTCGAGAACCCTGTCCCCCCAGAGAGCCTGCCGGGATCCCAAGACCCTGCCTCAATTTCCATCTTGAAATTAGGGAAACTGAGGCCCTGGGTAGGGGGGACTTGACCTGCCGTGCTAAGGTTCCCACTCCTCTGTGCCTCCCCTCCTCATCAGTGACAGGAAGGAGGCAGTGCCCCCCACAGCTGGGGCACTGCATGACCTGGCGGGGTGGAGGAGAGGAGGGCCAGAGAAGGCTTGAGGTCCCTTTCGGTGGCAAAATTCAGGTGGATAATGCTCAGCCAGAGGGTCTGAAGCAGGAGCGCAAGGAAATAAGCGCAGAGCTGGGCAGGGAGTGCTCCCCGCCTTATCTCTCTCCATGAATCACCTCTCGTACCCCTGCTGCTGCCTCCCCTTCTCACCCTGACATCGGGAAGGGAGAACTGTGCCTGCCCCCTGCCTGGGATGGGACTCCCTCTACCTGGGCCCCATGGCCGCACGCTGGCCCTTTCCCACCCCACCCAGTGATGGGCCAGATAGGGGCTTCCCAGCCAGGGCTTCCCCTGCTGACCCCAGCTTCCTCCCAGAGTTTCTGTGGCTACAGCTGTGACCCAGCCACTCCCTACAGTCCTGTGGGCCACCTAGACCTTCCTTTGCTTCCCACAAAAGCCCCACAAGGTTATTAGTGTCACCTGCCTAAGGTGACATTGCCTTCCTTTGCTTCTCACAAGGTTATTGCTGTCACCTGTCTAAGGTGACATAGCCAGGAAGATGCTGGTCTCCAGTTTGGGTGCCAGTCTGTCTACATGGCACCACAGTGAGTGGTCTCCTGCAGCCTCGGACAGGTGGGCCCTGCCATCTGCTTTTAGAGGCCTCAGGATGGGGACTCACTGCTGAGACTGCCCCACCCCCACCAGCTCTCAGACATCAGGGAGTCCTCAAGGGTCTCACAGAGGGGGCCTCAGAGGCAGTAGAGGCTGAGCCCCTCATCTGACAGGGACACTGAGGCCCAGAGAAGGACAGGGATTTGTTTATGACTCCACAGCACTGTGGTGAGCCGAGCCCCTGACTTCTGCTGTGGGTACTTCTTTCACTGCCACATCTGTCCTGGGACCCATGGCCAGCATGGCATGTGTGGGCGGGTATAATAACAATAGCAACTGCTGATTGAGTACGAGGCACTTTATAATCTCAGGTAGTGTTATCTGTCCCATTTTTCAGATGTAGAAACTGAGGCCTGACTGGTTAGTCCCTGCTCAAGGTCACCTAGCTAGTTCTCGGGTGGAGGGGTGGGGACCAGGCCTGTGTTTCTGTGAAATTCTAGGCTACCCCTCATGCCCTGGCCTGGCAGGACAGAGTGACAGGCAGGGCCTGGGAGGGGCAGCTGATCCAGGCCACTGCAATCCTCCAGCTCTCCTGCCCCGTCTGCCTCCCAGGCTCACAGGGGCAGGGCCAGGACGCTGACGGATGCTGACGGGGCGCTTTGTCTGCCGGTCTGCCCGTCTGTCTGCCTGCCGGGAGTGCTCCCTGCCTTATCTCTCCCCATGAATCACCTCTGTGCCCCTGCTCCTGCCTCTCCTTCTCACCCTGATACCATGTAGGGAAAACTGCCTGCCCCCGCCTGGATGGGGATCCCTCTGCCTGGACCGCCTGGCTGCACACTGGCCCCTTCCCACCGGGGGCTTTAGGCTGGGGCTACTGGGGCTGAATCAGGACAGCCGAGCCCGCCACCTCCTCACTCACCTGCCCTGTCGTCAGCACAACAGGCAGACCCTGGGGCAGGGAAGTGACGCAGCACCCAGGGGAGCGGCTGTGTTCCCGTCAGTCTGCTGCCAGCACTCCCTCCACCCCCACCTGCCTTCCCGTGCCCAAATGACTGGAAAGGAACTAGTGGGCAACCAGACCAGGAGCCAAGAGTCCGTGCTCTGCCTCCTCCTGGCTTATGACTGGAACAAGCTCCAGCTCCTTTCCAGGCCCCGGCCATCCCATCTGTAAAATGGGTACAGGTCTTGAAGACTGTTAGGGGCCCCTTCAGCCTTGAACCCTTGCTGCCCTTTGATCCTGGACTCAGGACAAGAGGCAGGTGGATGCCAGGTCTTACTCCCCAGCAGCTTGTCCCCTTCGAGCGTCCCTCCAGCCCTAGTGGCCTCCAACTCCAGGGGGAAGGTCACTGCCTGCCCCTCCCACAGCCCCAGGAGCCATGATTTCTCTGGGGGAAAACCTGCTGTGGGGCTCCAGCCGCATACCAGAGGCCTGTAGGATCATGCCTGGGAGGGACGAGCCCTGGCCTCGCTTGGCTGCAGCCTAGGGAGGGATGAGGCTGGGTGGGGTTGGGGCTCCCTCAGCCAGCACTGGGAGTAGATGTTCCAGCTGGTTGCTCCTCACGCAGGTGCTGAGCTCCCCAACATGACTAGTAGGATCCCTTACCAGTCCCTGACAGCCCAGGGTGAGGCCCCAAGAGTGGGCGCAGATCACACCTTCTCTACTTCACAGTTGAGGAAGCTGAGGGAGGGTGAGGCCCCGGTGACCAGGGCCAGAATGCCCATCTCTGCATGCCAGGCCAGGGCTTGGGAACAGACCCAGAGAAGGAAAGTTGAACCCAGGTTTCAGGATGCCTGATTCACCCCACATTTTTTCTGTCAGGCCCCCGCCTTCACACGCTGGAGTCCTGGCCCACAGCTTGGCTCTAGGAGAATAGAAGCGGCTTAATGAGGCGTTTCCTAAATGCCAGGTGCTGAGTGGGCACTTTATCCTGCTGCGTAATCCTCCCCACGACTCTGGAAAGTAGGTGTTGTCTCTATTGTGCAAATGAGGAAACTGAGGCTTGGTGGGGCTCGGGATGGCAGAGAGCTTGCCCGAGCTCACAGAATTGACATCTGGAGGGCCTGGCCCAAAACCCCAGTCTGCGGGTCCTGAGGACTCCCATTTCCCTGGAGAAGCAGTGTCACTGTCCTTCCAAGCCCTACCCCTGCATGGGAGCACCAGAGCCTCGCTGCTGGCCTCTGTTGACTCAGGATAGTAAAAGCGTTTTCACAAGGCTCCTTGGCAGCCAAATACTGGGCTCTCTGGAAGAGGGCTGGGACGGAGACTCACAAGAACAGGGGTGAGCTCTGTGGACTGGGGACCAGCAGGAAGGGCACTCATTGCTGGGCAGTGCCAGGACAGCCCCCCACACTGCCAGAGGCCACAGGTGGCCCAGCTGACACCATAGGTCAGGAGTCGCCTCCTGTATGCCCAGGGCCTGTTGCTGTCAGGGTGGGGAACCATCTGATAAAGTAACCCCAGTTGACTCCTGTGTGTTCCAAAGTCTCCCTTCCCCACAGCATTTGTGTCTTAATTAACAGGTTTTTTTTTTTTTTGAGATGGAGTTTCGCTCTTGTTGCCCAGGCTGGAGTGCAATGGCGAGATCTCGACTCATCACAACCTCTGCCTCCCTGGTTCAAGCGATACTCCTGCCTCAGCCTCCCAAGTAACTGGGATT